CCATTGCCTCCAGCTCGGCCATGTACGGGTTCACATCGTCACGCGGCCCCAGCGTGACCGAGAATCGGGCCAACACATCTCTCTGGCCCTTTGCCGTCACATACTCCACGTAGCCCCCCATACCAACCATGCCTCCCCTCTCCGAAGAGCTCGTCGAGATCACCACGCCTCGGGCCGCTCTTGCAGCCTCCGCTGCTTCGTCTCGGTCCACGTCGCACACGACGGGGATCCGGCCCTGCCACGGTGCCATGGCAAATTCTTGTATCACTTCCAGCCGTTCTCCTGTTCCGTCCCTATACCGCATGGCCATCTTCTGCATCGGCGACGTAAACCGTTGACATATCCTGATGCTCAGCCTCGCCAGCGGGTGTGCCCTCGGAAGGGTGCGTAGGCTGAACCACGTCTTGGCGGCAGCCCTGGCATGTCGTTGAAGCACCGGCTCAATGTTCGCCTCGGCCTCTGCGACGGCCGCGGCGACCTTTCGAAACGCACCGGTCACGGCCTGCGCCCCGATTGCTTGTGCTTGGCTCAACCAGACTGTCTCCCTCTCCCCGCAAGCGTGTGTCCACACGTTGGAGGCGTAGTCCATGGCCGGCGCCACTGCAGCTGTGAACAGCTGCCTGGCGACCCTCGGCGACAGGCCCCGGAGTCTCCTGAACTGCATCGCAACAGACAGGCCCTTGGCGGCTGCCTCGGCAATGTGCTGCTTGTACCTAAGCTCCGCGTCCAGCACCACCCCCAGCACCTTGGCGGTGTCCTTCGGTTGCACAGTCTGTCCATTGACCACGAAGCTGCTCTGGCTACCACGTGTAGCCGTTCTCGTGAAATGGATAATGGCTGTCTTGTTGCTCTCGAAAGTCGCACCGCTCCGCCTTGCCCAGGCCAGGGCTCGATCGATGATGGCCTCGATCCCGGCCCGGTTCGCCTCCGCTGACTTCCCTGTCACCCAGGCCGAGTAGTCGTCCACGAAGGCGATCGCCCCCTCCGTCGTGCTGATGCTCGTCTGCACAAGATCCGCATTGAAGAAGAGTTTTAGTACGTGACACCCCAAGTGTTGCAAGAACGAGCCTCAGGTGTCAAGGCCAACAACCGGGTATGGCTTCAGGCTGCACAGGTGCAGCCTGCAGGCACGACGCCGTTGCCTACAGTGAGTCATGTCTACGGCCTCAATGGCACAGGTATAAGAACAGCAGCTTCATGCCAGTATCAGATAGAAATTAAGCATTCCTTTGCCCACGGTTTTCCTACCTAAGTGTGTGACACCAAGCCCCACAGATAAAACGTCGCACCGCTTAAAGCCAACCTCGTTGTTCTTGATCCATGACAGGCCTGCTTGAAGGCCAAGTTCTCCAAGTGTTCAGCATCCTATTCTCAGCAACTGAAGCACGGTCTGGCACAGCCGAGGCTGTTTTGTTAGTGTTGTCGCATGTTAAAGATTCACGCCCTGAGTGACGCCAGTCGATTCCAGCCTCTTTGTCGCCATTGAAAATCTGATCGTCGCACGCACGGCCTGCATGTCCGGTTCCCATTTGTCGTCATCCGAGGCAGCCTTGCCCCCTAGAAGGAAGGACAGATTCTCAATCTTTGTTCGTGCCCACTTCAGCAAGATTTCCCGCTGTGCTGTCCAGTTCTTGCACCGGAAAGAAAGTGTTCTACCGTCTCTGTCGCTTGTCCGCAATCGCACAGACCCGATTCCGCTGCTCCTATCCTGCGGAGATAACTGTTCAGTCGCATCATGCCGGTGCGGAGCTGCACCAGCGCATCTGCTTCTTTCCTTTTCAGCGAGTCGTATACAGCACGGGTATGCCTGCCTGGCAGCGCCTTGTCAATTCGCTTCGAGTATTTTCCGACGCTTTCCGGTAGTTGTTCGCGCGTTCCTTCTTGGGCGAGAGCTAGCCTGAGCGTTGTCGCCTTCGCTTGGTACCAGGGCACTTCCGCCTCGCATCCTCTCTCCGTGGCTCGTTTCGCCGGCGCCCTTGGCCAATTGTCGCGATGCGAGCTCCTCTTCACTGGCCGGTACCCACCTAAGTCTGGCAGTACAGCCTCGCTTTTGAAGGCGCTTCATCTGATCGTATATCCCACGGATAGTACATTGTCTAGATTGCTGCTGAGGCCGCCTGACCGCGGCCACTACCGACCGGTTGCCTGCCACGACCGTCACGTCCTGAGGGACAAGGCCTGGCGGTATAGCTCTGAGCGCTGTCTCTATCGCTTCTAGCTCTGCTGTGTACGGATTTTTTTCGCTTCCAGGCCCGATGGTGACAGAAAAGATGGCCAGAGTGCGGCCCAGGCCGCCATGTGTTGTGTCGCAAACAACGCCTCCCATGCCCACAGCACCATGTCTCAGCGACGCAGCTGTTGCTATACGGATGTTGTTGGGCGGATGCTTCTAGAAGGTTCTATGACTCTGTCGACATTTGCCAGCTTCGTCTATATGAGACGCAGCCTTCCACTCCTTTCTGTAGCTAGAGATGAACAAGTTCATTCACTCTTTTCCAGTCTGTGTGTGCAGACAAAAAGTTCTGTTCAGCGTACATCGACGACATCCTCATTTATTCGAGCGGGTTGTTGGCGGATCATCGGACGAAGGTCAAACAAGTGCTGGCACGGCTGCGGGACGCCGGCCTGCAGATCGACATCGACAAGTGCGAGTTCGAGGCGACAAGCGTGAAGTACTTAGGCTTTATCGTCGAAGCGGGGAAAGGCATCCGGGTGGACCCGGAGAAGGTACGCGCCATTCAGGAATGGGAGGCGCCACGGTAGACGAGGGCAGTCCGAAGCTTTCTGGGGTTTGCGAATTACTACCGGCAATTCATCCCAAAATTCTCGAACATAGCGTCACCGCTGACGGCGCTGACGAAAAAGGATGCTACATTCGCGTGGTCGAACGAATGTCGGGCTGCATTCAACGAGCTCAAGGCACGGCTCATTAGCGCACCGGTTTTAGCGCAATGGGACGCGGGTAGGGAAACGGTCGTTGAGACGGACTCGTCTGGGTATGTTACCGGCGGCGCTCTCTCTCAGAAGGGAGATGACGGCCTCATGCGACCGGTGGCCTTTTTCTCAAAGAAATGCTTGCCGGCAGAGTGCAACTACCCGATCCACGACAAGGAGCTGCTGGCGATCATACGATGCTTGGAGCATTGGGACGCCAAGCTGAGGAGCGTGGAATCCTTCACGGTTTTGACGGACCACCTGAACCTGCGCTACTTCACCAAGAAGCAGCCCCTGAGCGAACGCCAGGCGCGGTGGTCAGAGCCGTTGTCGAGGTACAACTTCACGATCGCGCACCGGCCGGGCAAGGATGCGGTGGGTGCCGGATGCACTATCGCGACGAGAGCAAGACATGCCGCACAGCGTAGAAGATGAGCGTCTGCGAGGGCGACGCTTACAGCTACTCGAGCCAGCCAAGGGAGGCGGCCTAGTGACTAGAGTCAAGAGTGGCTACATCTCCAAAGGAGCCAATTGATGTCTGTTCCACCATTCAAGGGGGTCTACAACATCGAGATCGTGGGCATAGATTGGCCGCGTCTGGAATATGTCCAGCTCGGTCACTGCCTTGACCTTCTTTCGTTGTGTGTTCAATGAGCGAATCGACCTCTTCCCAAAGGAACTGTAGTCGTTGACCTCAATTTCGATCTCAACATCGCCTTCCAAGAGTCCCGCTTGAGCTTGAGTTTCGACTTCGGCCTGTCGCGCGTATTCGTCGAATAGGCTACCCACAGCGGACTGCATGTCGCTATACCATTGCGGCCTATTCATCGCACTTTTCCAGTGCCGCTCGAAGTAGTCGTATCCATACGATGGATGGAGCGCTAGGGCGGCTCGGTACACAGGTGTACGGTCTGTTTTGACGTAGTACTCGAGCTTCCTCCACCCGCAGTCGATGCCTGACTTGAAATGGGGGGGCTCCTCAAATCGAGTTTCCTCTGCCGCCTGCTTGAACTTGACAAACAGATAGTCCATTGTCTTGAGGGTCTCCCACACCGCGCCATGCCCGCCCTCTGCGCCGGCATGGTTGGCGTTGCCCTCCATGGTCTTTGTAAGGACGTGAAACGGCGCCAGGAAGCTGTGGAAGCACTCAAGTTCAGCCCAGTCCGCAGCGCCGAGGAAGTCTTTCGTTAGGTCACGATGGGCGGGGTCATTCTTCGGCTTTTGCCAGCGAGACTGATAGAGTTTAATGGCGCTGCGCAGCTCGAGCGCTGGATGGTCCGATATCACGTCAGCAGAAGGTCTAACTGGCTGAACAGGGACAGACCGGCATACCTCGGTTGATCATCATGTAAATGGAGTTCCAGCGGGTCTTGCCATCAACAACAATCTCCAATGTAAATATGGCATCGTCCCCTGCGAGCTCGGTCTGCAAGCGCCGGAGCGCTTGCCTTCGCTGGTCCGTCCGGCGGATGTAGGTAGCAATGTTATGGAGCCTGCCGATGGCCCCTTTCCTTGCCCAAATATCGAAACTGAATTCGTCCGTCGCCCCACGAAGCTCCGCCTCGAATTTGCCAACGTTTGAGCCGAAGATAACAGCCCGCACAACCAGATTGATAATGTGGCCTATGCAGCGTAGCCGACGCCGGCCAACGTCCATTGGGAACCATTGAGCAAGCGTTTGAAGGCAAGTATCATTGCTGTCGGCGTTATCGAGCATGAAATATCCAAGCTTGGCGCCCATTTCGTATTTATCGATTATTTCCTTTACATGAGGCGCAATATTTTCACCGGAGTGTGGACCGACTAGGCGCGGCAGTCCAAGAAGGATATCTCGCTTTCCGCCGTTATCGTCAACAAAGTGGATGCAGACGAGCCAAGGATGCAATTCAATCTTCCAGATCGGACACTTGCAGGCGAGACAATTTGTGAAGAAGAACTCTATATGGATTCAAGAAGAGGTCAACCTCTTTTTTTGGATATTGACAAGAGTATTAATTTCATTCGTGGTGTATCTCTGGTTGCCGCGCAATGGTACAGTCCCTTCCCACCATTCATGTCCCCCATTCTTACGCACTCTTCGTCAGTCCCTCCTCCTCGTTATTCGCAGAAGAAATTGCTCCTTCCAATTGGTAGCCCTTGAATTTCCTCGCTGGCACGTTGTTGTCGAAAAGCAAATCAAGTTCCTCGTAGGTTCTGCCCATGGTCTCCGGGACCCGGAAATACGACCACACAAGGCACAGAGCCGCCAGGCCACCGAAGAAGAAGCCCAATTTCCCTTGTATATTTGCTTGGGTGGGGTTCTCGAGATACGGAATCGCGACGGTCATCACTGTCCACCGGTCAGCGGGTTGTATAGTTCGTGGCACGCAGGCTGCGCCAAACTTCTGGACAACCAGGGTCAATGAAACATACCTATTCCCAAGATAGCCTGAGCGGCGGTGGCAATTGCGATGGATTTGGAGCGCACACGCGTGGCTGAGCACTCTGCAAGGAGCACGAAGCAGATCGGGCCGATAGAGATGTCGTAGAAGAAGTTCCACACCAGCATCAACACTGATTCAGCCCATATCGCGCCACTCGGTCTATCGCGAATACAATCCAGTACGCCTATCAAGAGCTGGAGGAACGTGAGCATAGCGAGACCCCAATTGAAAAGGGTTCGACGGCCGACGCGGACCATGAGGCCCCAAGAGATGACCGTCCCCACGAAACCAACAGCTACGGGTGTTGATCAGTTGCATCCAGCAAAGGTTGGGAACCAATTGTTACTTACCCAAAAAGCCTACGGCCATGTTAAAAGCTTGGTCCGTAGGCAAGCCAGCTTGTTGGAAGAAGTAGGTGCCGTAGTTAATGAGGTAGATGCCGCTCAAGACTTGCGCACAGTACACGCCAATCGAAATCTCAGTGCGGCGAAGATTCACCTTGCGGAAGCAGTCCATGTACGTGCTACCGGCCTCAAGTTCCAGCTCCAGGCGATCGGTCTCGACGATGAATGCGAGACTGGCAGCGACATTTACTTTGCTCGAGGCCAGCCGCCTGAGGGACGCCTCGGCGTCCTCCATGCGACCCTTGCGGACGAGCCACCAAGGACTCTCAGGGACGAAGAACATGCCGGGAATAATGATGGCGCACCAGAACCACTGCAGGGCGAATGGGATCGAGTAGGCCCAGTGGGTATTGAGCGTCTGCGTGCCGGCGGTGACACCGTTGCCGAGCAGCTGCCCCATGACGAAGCACAAATTGACGTAGGCCGTGAGATGGCCACGAACAGCGGTCGGGCAGACTTCTGAGGCGTAGGCGGGTGCAATGACGACAAATTGGCCGAGGACAAGACCCGCCAGAAGCTCGCCGGCGAGCAAGACGTTGAGAGAACGGGCGAAGAATTGGATAAAGACGAGACCGGCGGTGAGGATGACGCAGGCCGCGAAAGTGCGCTTGCGACCGAACCATTCCATGGGATACGCAGCGAAGAGGGCGCCAACGACCTGGCCGATGGGGTTACCCATGCTGAGGCCCGTCTGCCAGGAGGCATCGATCACCCACTGCAGCAGCCGGTCAGTCAGTCAGCGCCGAATCGAAGCCGTGGTTCGTCAATTTTTACTTGACGATCCATGGACCTGGACCATGACTTACCTGGCCCTCGAACTCGTAGCCAAAGTCTTGCTGGAACTGGGGCGTCGCGTAGAGGTTGCCGATGAGCTGGGGGTCAAAGGCCAGCATGATGACGCCCATGCTCACGAAGGCCGACCAGCCGATGGCCTTGGGGTAGAGGCGCAGGGCCTCCCCAAAGGTGAGCTGGTTCTCGGCGCGGATGGCCTCGACGAGCTCCGCGTCGGCGGCCACGGCGCCGTGCTTGGCGACGGACTCGCGGTGGGCCGTGGCGGCCACGGCATGCTTCTCGTCGGAAGGCTGCGGGTGGTCGCCCGCGCCATGTTGGTGGAGATGGTGCTCGTCTGCTGCCATGTCGTATCGGTCGCTTGGCTGGACTTACACAGGGGGGTGAGGGGGGGGGGGCCGTGTCGGAATACGGTTCACGACCACGACCAGCACTTGCAGCTGTCAAAGAACGGGCGGCACGTGTATATAAAACCAGGTCAACCAGGAGCTAGTTTGCATGTCAATCCTTCTGGGATTGCCACTTGCGCCGAGTCCCCCCCCCCCAAAGCTCCCCATCCGCTGTCGCATGGCATTCCCCTCCTGCGAGCAAACCAATAGTCCGGGGATCTACGGACTTCACCCGAAGGATGGACTGGCGAGCCGGGGGACCCCTCTTCACGGCCTTCAGCACGGCCAGCCACTGCTGCAGCCCTGTTTGCTCTCTTCCGGCAATCACCGGTCATCACCGGCGCCGCCCCCGACTGTGCTCCCACACGGAACATCGCGCCCCGAACGCCTCCAAATAGGCGACTGCGACGAGATTGTCATCGACTTTGAGCTCACTGGTCAAGACGAACCTGTGCCATTTGCCCCCCGCGTCTCTCCACACGCCACGCCCCGGAATATAGCCTATCACCGGGGAAAAGGCCCCCCCAAGTACGCAGGTGCTCCGGCTGGCAAACAACGAGGCATGAGTCGCGGTCGCGAGCCCCGTGTCCCCGGAATTTGGAGGATGCGGAGGCGTCGGAGTTGCGTCCTCGGGGGCCAGGCCCCTACGTTGCATCTGTGCCACCGGTTGGGGCCAGGCCCGCGCTTCGTGGCATGAGGCCTTGCAGCTTTTGCTGCAGATTACGCATGTGGCCTTATCAAATGCTGGAGGCCTGACAGTGGGCGTGTTGACTCGGCCGAGTCAGGGTTGGGTCCAGAGACGGAATCTGGCTTCGTTCCGCTCATCTCTGAGCCGTCGGAATCAAAGTCGGCTGTTCGCACATGCTTTCACATCCAAAGGATTGCCTTCCCCCGCATCT